CTCCAACATCAAAGCTTTCTTTTAATGGTACGTTGTGGTATAGGTTTAACCCCCCTTCAATACTGAAACATATTCAAGAAGTGATACCTCCCTCCGAACACAACGTCCATCTCCGAAAGAACTGAACCAAGTGAGTGGGGAGCTTTGATAACTCCTCGAACTGTACAATGTCAATAATGTCCAGCATAATATCCGAACCAGGGTCATTCGCATGTTATCACGAGCTAACAGTCCACCTGCAAGCTCTGAGAGGATTCTATTACTGTAACCGAGGTTGAGGTTAAATAAAGAGAAGAAAAGAAACACAATAGCGCTTATAGTACTGAAGAAAGTAAAAAAAAAAAAAGTTTTAGTAAGAGTTTTACGGCGCTCGCAACTGCATAACGTCATATGAGCGACAGAAGATTAGGGGTGTTACAAGAGAGCAACAAACATAAAAAAGAAGAAGGGGAGATAAGGACGATAGATGTTTCATAGGAAAGAAGAAGCAAACCACATCAGAGCACCAGACAACCACCCATCAGAAAATAAAACACAGAAAAACCGAGAGAAACAAACGAGGGAAAGAAAACTAGCAGGACCTCTTCTTCTTCTTCTCGATCGCATCACACTTGCAGTCTGGTATCTGTGATTAATGGGGCCGTCCTGCTCAGTTCATCTGTCGGCCCGTATAGCTTCTCTTGTAGTGTCATTGGGGTAGGATCTTTTTTAATGTACGTATTCTTACGCCACCAAAGACACGTTCTGATCATTTAGGAGGACCATAGCTGCCAGGGCCAGCCTGAACTAAAAGGGATACAATATCATCCCAGCAGAAAGACCGAAAGACTCGATAAAAGTTCTCCACACTCGGGAATCGAACTCAAGTCTCTTGCGTGCGACAGCAAAGCGCTTAACGGCTTCATCAGAGACGCTGGTGAAAAAGGACCTAGATTTACCATGTGGAGTAGTGTCCTCCAACCACCCACTCAGCAACCGACAATAACAGAAACAAGCGAACAACAAAACACAAGGACGCTTGCCCCCAAATCACCAACCCCAAACCTGTCACGCTGAAGGATCAAGGAAAACATAATTGGCTTAACGTATATCCTTTTTTCTTTTTTAAATCACGACACAGCGGTACCAGGTGATTCTGCACTACGGAACACTCCAATAAGAATGCAATAACGAGAAAGAACCTGCTTTTTTAAGTAGCTCGGTAGAGATATATGACAGCTGAACAGGCTTCAATGCACCCAGAAAACGAAACAAATTTGCCCTCACCCCTGAGACGTCCTAGGACGTAACGAATAAAAACAGTGCTTTTTTTGCGAACAAAATACATTTAAAGGGTTGGGGGCCTACAACGGGCGAGGCATTAAAATTTGACGCTGTTCTTTCTAGACGGGATAAGCCTTGTGAGAGTCTAGTAAGACTGAATATTGGGAAATGCACTTTTCCTAAGTGGGATTTCTTTAAAGCCGCACTGTGTTATGCATGAAAAGAAAAAGGAACTAACTTTCGACATTGTTTTGTTGAGTTTGTCTTATTACACTTTTTAAAATTGTTTCTCTCTTTCTCCTCACTCCCTTTTTCTGTTTCACAAACACACTCTCTCTCTCTCTTCTCGTCCATCTGTTTCTTCCACCCCCCCCTCTCCTTCTCTCTTTCTCTCTCCCTCTTTCTCTCTCTGTGTGTCTCTCCCCATCCTTCTCTATCTTTTTCTCTTGAAAACACACACACACACGCACGCACGAACGCATGCACACACAAACACGCAGACTGGTTTGCACAAAACAAAACCCAGATAAACATTACACATTCATAACATCGACTCATTTTAGCAAGCTGGCAGGTATTCTGTTTTCTCCAAAACTGAAATACCCCCCCTCCCCAACAATATGCTCATCAACTTCACGTTCTATTTCGCAATCGTCAAATATAGTCCCTCCTTCAGTTGAAAATGCACATTTTAATAGTATCATTAATACAAAAATGTTCTCATTAGATAAACAACTATAAGCACGCAACAGTGCAGGCAGACAGCGTGCTTCATTCAGAAGCACATTTTCTTATAATATATTTGTACTTGTCTAACCAAAGGCTCCTTCATAAAATGAATAAGGCGATAAAACAAATCCGAGTTGGTCTCCAACAAAATAGATCCACAGCACTTGTCTAATCGATTCGTAGTTTTATCGCGAGCCGCCATAGAGCAGTGCGAACAAACATTCCCATGCCACACAGAACAAACATGGAGATCCCGCTCAGCGGAGCAATGGGATCTGGGGGGACAGGCTATTTCACATGGAGAGGAGATTAATTAAAACAAAGCAGTGTTTATATCGGGGGGTCCTTGTGAAAACAGACTGTAGGCCCTCTGCTGTTATCACTCGAAAGGAAAGCAATAACAATACCACCGTTCGACCAAGGAGTGTCGACGACCGGTAAGTGTAGACACACTAAGATTCTAGGCTCCTGGTTGATTGTAACTGTGTTACCACAGAGTCTACAGTAACACTGGTGATACTGTAAAACTATCTGACTGTTACCCCTTCACTGAAACAATTTAGATAATTTGGGAACGGGGACAGTTTCATTCGGCCTGCCAGGGGCAACCCGGGCTGAGAGGCGAGAGGTATACGGCACCCCAGCAGAAGGACGGTGAAATTTGATAATACTCCTCCTTCACCACAGACATACTTAGGGAACCTAAACAAATGAGTAACAAGGAAAGGTCAGGGAAACGTAGCTTTTTTTTAGAGCATCCGAGCAAAGGAATGAATGGAGAACAATGATCGCCGATGTCTGTCGCAGATCTGGCACCGGATGATGATCACACCACAGACGCAGACAAATCCTCCAAGTGAATAACGCAAGGAGGTAAGATGTGCTGACATGGACTGACAGTATGAAAGAATCCACGACACTATACCAAATGGGATGTACTAAAATCCCTTAAAACACCCACTCAGTGGGAAACATTACAGATAAGAGTAGATCATACAAATTATTTAAAGGATGTATACGTATGCACACTGGGAGTTCAGTTTACCGATTGATGTAAAAGTTTTGCACACCTATTGACATAATTTAGATCATTTTGGGAGGCGGGCTAGAAAGAGTGCTGACGTCTTCGACAGGAAGACACAGCGATGTGTGTGTATGGGGAGGGGGGGTTATGAGAAATGTTAGTACATGTATCACTTATTGGGTTTGCTCGGACTTTAATTTGTTTCGTTGGGGTAACGCTGGGTTAAGGTGCGGTTGACCAAAGTTCTGAGTTCAGAAAGGAGCATCCTTTATAAATATAAACTTGTTTGGGGAATTTTCAAAACTCTCTACCTATATTTGGTTCGATTCTATTGGGTTAAATTCGGAGACCCAAATCTCTATAAAGAAGAATTCTGGATTATGACAAGGAAGTTCCAACTCATAACCCAGTGGACTTTTCATCCCTTAAAATGTTTGGTCAGACATTTTGTTCTTATCATTTGAGACACGTACGCAAAGACCAGAGGATAGAATTACATTGTCATAGGATATGGAGGAACTCATAACTTAGTCAGTGAGTGGAAGTTCTTCTTATACGCCAGAATAAAACACATGAGCAACACACACACACACACACACACACACACACACACACACACACAAACAAACAACAACAAAACAAAACAAAACCGGGGTAGGCTTACAAAATGAAACCCAGACTGTGTCGACTTACCTTTGTCCTAGACCATCATACAAAATGTCCAACGGTGAGGGAGCCAGAAACTCAACGTTCCAAGTAATTCAGAAACAATATCCTGAAAAGGTCCGCGGTGTCCTCTGACTTGGCACAATGTTATGGCTGGGCACCGACTGTTGAGGTTTTAATATCCACTTGGCCTCCTCGATGAACGAACACACAGACTTGACTGATGTTATAATCCTCCTCAAGGAAACAAAATATCCGACTTGTGGTAATCCAAAGTGCTCGGGAGAAGAAATCGTTCACATTCCTCAGATTTGTTAGGTCAATTGACAGCAAGACCACTTTTGATCCGAAAGGCAGTTTGGACTAAAAAGAAATAAGAACGTTGAGAGATTGCTGAACCTGAGAATAAACGTTGAAGCTGCCCAGCTGAATGACACAGAGGAAAATAAACACATAAAAAGAACATAATAATATAAAAAGTTGCTGAGGTGTGTCGAAAAGGAGAAATAACTAGGAGAGAAAATAGCTTACAGTGAAACTGAAAAGAAGAACACGTCATTAGTTTTCTGAGTATTTCTCACTATATTCACTTCTGTATTACACCCTTGACAGTAAAGGCAACTTGGCATTGGTCGGAGGGTCACATGAGCACAGAGAAAGCGAGACAAAAAGGTAAAGCCAGAGAGAGAGAGAGAGAGAGAGAGAGAGAGAGAGAGAGAGAGAGAGAGAGAGAGACTTTTATACACTTACACACACATATGTATCTGGTTTCCTAATGTGCACATTTTTCTAAAATTCATATAGCAAAGTGAAGTTGGTAAAAAAGTGAGTTCCATCAGCAGATTTAGGCCTTACGGGAAAACAAGGAAGGGAGTTGCTGTGTTGTATTGTGCTAACCGTCGAGGGAGAAGTTTCTAAGCTCGACAACTTTTATTCTGAGTCTGAACAAATCTTTTACACTTTTGTACAGCTCTGTGAGATAGGGCCGTATTCATTTCGGTATAATTTTTTTTTATACAATGGAACTTCAATCA